CCTTAAAAAATATCTACAAGTAAGAGATGATAGAGTTTTTTGGGTTTTTTGTGGGGTTTTTGTTGTTGTTGTTGTTTTTGTTTTTTTTGTTTTTTTTTTTTTTTTTTTTTTTTTTTTTTTTTTTTTTTTTTTTTTTTGAGATGATAGAGTTTTACATTTACCTGTCATGGATTTAGAATTTTGTGAGGTAAAAATTTAAAATTTTGCCCTACAACTACATGAGCATGTAGTTAGTATAACTGATAAACCCACTTCTTTAAAATTTAGACCCCAAAAAGCCAATATCAGCAACTAGATTTTCCTCTAGGGCATTGCAAAGCAAATTGTCCCCAAGTTTCTGCTAAATGACTTGTTTTAATTTGAAACAAATATGATGAAAAGAACACTAATTTAGGATTAAAAATCTAGTTCTAAATCCTACTTTCCCTTTTCTAGACATATAGGCAAATTTCAGAATCATTCAGATCCCATGCACCAATTCAAAAAAATCTCACATGATGTTAATAAATAACTCACTGCTCTTCTTTCTTGTTATGGTTCGGATCTTAAATGCCCTCCAAATGCTCATATGTTAGGAACCAAGCTCAAGGCTTAGTTTCTAATACAGCAGTATTCTGAGGTGGGGCCTTTGGGAGACGTTTAGATCATGAAGACTCTGACCTCATTAGTGGACATTCATGGATTCACAGCTTAATAGATATTGGAAGCAGACTTTTGTTATAAAAGTAAACTGTACATCTTGCCTTACTGACCATCTTGAACTGAGCACTTCCCTCTTCTACATGTTTCCATCATGATACACTGCCTTGCTGCAAACCTAAAAGCACCCTGGTCAAGTTACCATCGACTGGGCCCTCTGAAACCATGAGCAAAGATAAAGTCCTTTAAATTGATTTCTCCCAGTTATTGTGTCATGAAAAAACTCACTAACACATTTTACTCTACATTCACTCCCCACAAAATCTCAGCCACTTTTATGGCTCCAATCATCAATGACTGATGATTCCTGTAGCTATATTTGCAACTCACACTGATCTCCTTACTTTATACTTAAATATCAAGCAATTCAAGTTTCACAGACAGCTCAAATGGATACATTCAAATGTCAACTTATTTTCCCTATCACTTTACAAAACTGTTTCCTTGCCTTAGTTCTTGATCTTTGTCACTAAAGGTAGAAGAGGGGGGGGGCTTCCTGGGCCATTCTACTCCCATGCAATCTGTTACAGTTCTACCAATCTTGTTTCCTATTTAGGTCTCTCATGCATGTTTTCTCCATCTCATGATATGATTAGAAACCTCATGGTCTCAGGCCTGGAGTACTGAGGCAACATCACCCCTGGTTTCTGTGTCCCAGACTTCTCCTGTGTATACCTTCCTGGGGTGTGTAGAACCATAATAATTTGTAATGTTTAACGTCCTTATCTGAAACTGGGGATAATGCATATCAGACAGCATAATTTGCCACATTTGTCTTAATAATTTTTCTTATTATAAATACATGCATCTAATGTGAAAAAGGGAATGTGAGTAGGTACTTGTCTATATGCATGCTTATTTACCCTTCATTAAAAGTAAATTAATGTCTCAAGTCAACAACTTCTGACATTGCCAGTCCTATAGAAAACCCACTATTATTATGGACTACTGTACTTTATTGGATTATTTTGCTGAATTCACGCATCTACAATATTTAAATGATAATGGAATACCCTTCTCTGACAAAACTAAACAAAAAAGGGGGATACAAATGAACAACCATTTTGTATCTGTATATTCAAAATAGTTAAGATAGATATACAGCTGCATTCTCTTAATGCAATGAAGAGAGAGATATGTTCGAATAGTGTTTGTGGACAGGATATCATGTCTGCATCTTGTACAATGAATAACCACTAAGACAACAATATGCAATGTATTAATTATTGAAACTGTGCTAGTAATCGGTTTTGAAACTGTCTCACTGCTATTTATTTCTCAATAAAATTTTAAAAAAATAAATAAATGTCTAAAACAAGGAAATTAAATAAGTCATTAATTGCAAAATTTCAAATATATTTACATTTCACCAAACATTTATTCAATGGAACTATATTCTCTATCTTAATTAGAATCATTGATATCCAGTCTAAATTAATAGGTAAATTTTGTTTTAAAAAATCTGGCTCTCACAGATCTATATTTATAGCCTAAAAGTATTTGATGAATATTAATTCCAAATATCTACATTTATGAACAAGGCTGAGGCTGTGATCTGGATTAACAATGCCTATTATAAAAGCCAAAGCTAGAGATAAAAGACAAAGGTGTACACCAAGGGCAGCCCACTCTAGCTGTGTGTAAGTGCTCCTTCAACAGTACAATTCTTTCCCTCCATGTGACACTTACCTTCATGATTAAGCTTCTGTGTTCCACAGACTGACTAAAATTTGTGCCCATTTCAAATACACTTGTGATTTCATTCTCACACAAATTCATCCAATAATGATATTCCTTGCTCCCAGGTAGTCGATCCCAAAAAGTCCTGAAAGCTTCCCAGACAGCTTCCTGGCACACTAGAAAATGCACAGAGATATTTTTGTAAAATGCTACCATGCTTTAAGGTTCACATGAAGTACATGAAAAGATTCATTCAGACTTCTCTCAGTCACTCCAGGCCATAGGGCTCTTTCACGAGGGGGGACACGAGAAAGATTAGAAGATTTCAGCTCAAAACTTTTCTATATATCCAGCTTAAATATTTCAGTTCTCAAAAGAATCTGTTCTCCCTTCTCTATTCCTTTGCAAAAGAAGTCAGATCACCTCTTAATAAGCTAGAGTTTTGTTACTAATCTCTTTTTTAATCCATGTCTATGCATTACAAATGTGGACTTGATAATGAATACTCACTACTTAATCAAGTGCTTCCCTATCTCACTGGCCCAGACACCAAATACATATATTTAGTACAGGGTCTCACTACACAGCTCAGACTCATAGTGATCTTCCTGTTTTCAGCCTCCCCAGCAGTGAGATTACAGGCGCGCATTACCACACCTGTCTCAGAGGCCAGCTCAGTGTACTCGGGCAGGGGCAGTGCGGAATGTAGTTCCAAGGATTGAATCCTGGTCCCTGTGTTTGCCTATGTAGCCACTTAGTCTGCTGACCTATCTTGTCAGCCCTTGGACACTGTAATTTTAGGTTTCTTTAATGTTTACAGATATTCCCTGATCACAGCTTCAAAAACCAGCCTCTTGCCTTCTCAGTTTTGGAAAAATGTAACAACATAAATGCTCTGTCTGCTCTTTTGAAAATAAATTACACATCTCTAATTTAAAGTAGTTAGTAGGAGCTGGAAATGTAGCTCCATGGCAGAGTGCTTGCCTGTTAAGTATGAGGTAGTGAGAAAGAACTGGGGAAAAAAGTATTAGAAACTCCTCAAAATTTATGAAAAGTTAAAAATAGTTTATAAAAATCAAGAAGAGGATGCTACTTGGAGTTATTATTCTCAAGATACTATATCTCAGGGCTGGAGAGATAGCTCAGTGATCTAAGCACCTGCCTGGCAAGAGCAAGGACCCAGGTTTGACCAGTACCACATGCTATGCCAGACCCAGAGCCCCAGGCACACTATGCCAACCACTGAAACTGGGCATGGTGGCACACACCTATAATCCCACGGCTGGGGAAGCTAAGACAAGGGATCACTATAAGTCCTAACTACATAGCGAGACCCTGTATCAAAAGAATAAAAATTTTGAAAATAAAAAAATGTATTTAAAAAAGATTACATTTCATATCAGAACACAGAAGATGGCATGCTTCAATTTTTTACAGCATTTCTGATTTCAGATTAGAGATGCTCAACTGTATCATGTTGCATTCTGATTGCTGGATGATTAATTGATGGAAGAAAAGAGTCAAAACCAAAAACAATTCTTGAACTTTATCAGAGTGAAATATATGAATATTAAATCTTTCAATCAATTGATTTTTCATGGTTAGTTCAAACTTTTGGTTACAAATTTAATCTCCCTTTCCATAAACTAACAGCATATTTTTGCTATACTTATTATTTTTTATGAATTTAGGAAAGGGTGTATAGGGTGTACAGGATCTCACTACATAGATCGAACTATAATGATTCTCCTGTTTTCATCCTCCCAAGTGCTAGGATTACAGACATGCAACACCATACCCAGTCTCAATCACTGTCTCAGTGTGCCCACGGCAGGCCTGGGATTGAACTCCGGCCCCTACACTGTGCTGAAGCAGGTGCTTTAGTCCCCTGAGCTATCTGGCCAGCCCATTCTTGCTATTTAAAATGCTTGACTAATCCAGCATAGGGAAGACTCAGCAGGTGCAGAGAGAGAGCTGACCTACTTAGAGATCTGAGTTCTTCCTTTCTCCCTAAGACTTCCACACAAAGTCAATTAAATAATAAAAGAAATTACAAAAATAAAAGTCCACGCTAATAAAAACAAAAAATGAATACCTATAACATCACATAGGGAAATGAAACAATTCAGAGAAAGTATTGTTAGGCAAAATAATTACATATCCAAAGAGAAAGAACAAATAAATCTAAGCCCTTTCTTCAAACAATATACATAATCTAACTACTGTGATTCATATAAAGAAAATATGAATATTACATTTCTATATAGCACATATATCATATATGGTCAACTGATTTTCAGCAAAGGGGTTAAAGACAGGTGGAGACAGAATAGTGTTTTCAACAAATAGTGCTGAGACGGTTCCGGGAAAATGGCGAAGGTCTCAGAGTTGTACGATGAAGAAATGAGAGATAAAATGAGAAAATGGAGAGAAGAAAACTCAAGAAATAGTGAACAAATTGTGGAAGTTGGAGAAGAATTAATTAATGAGTATGCATCTAAGCTTGGAGATGACATTTGGATTATATATGAGCAGGTGATGATTGCAGCCCTGGACTACGGTCGGGATGACCTGGCATTGTTTTGTCTCCAGGAGTTGCGAAGACAGTTCCCTGGCAGCCACAGAGTCAAGCGATTAACAGGCATGAGATCTGAAGCCATGGAAAGGTATGATGATGCTATACAGCTGTATGATCGAATTTTGCAGGAAGATCCAACTAACACTGCTGCAAGAAAGCGTAAGATTGCCATTCGTAAAGCCCAGGGGAAGAATGTGGAGGCCATTCGGGAGCTGAACGAGTATCTGGAGCAGTTTGTTGGTGACCAGGAAGCCTGGAATGAGCTCACAGAACTCAATATCAATGAGCACGACTATGCAAAAGCAGCCTTCTGCCTGGAGGAGCTCATGATGACAAATCCCACAACCACCTGTATTGCCAGCAGTATGCGGAGGTTAAATATATTCAAGGCAGACTTGAAAACCTGGAACTTTCAAGGAAGTATTTTGCACAGGCATTGAAATTGAACAACAGGAACATGAGAGCTTTGTTTGGGCTTTACATGTCTGCGAGTCACATTGCATCTAATCCAAAAGCAAGTGCGAAAATGAAGAAGGACAACATGAAGTGTGCGAGCTGGGCAGCTAGTCAGATCAACAGAGCCTACCAGTTTGCAGGTCGAAGTAAGAAGAAAACCAGATACTCTCTGAAGGCCATTGAAGACATGTTGGAAACTTTACAGATCACCCAGTCGTAGGCATCGCAGATCTGATGCTGATGTCACCGCTGCACAGTGGAACCTCCTGCCCTGTTACTTACTAAATGCCAAGTGCTGTTTGTACTCTTAAGCTCTGCAAACAGGGCAGTTGTAAAGAGTGTGTTCATATAACCCTAAAATGCCTTTCACTGCTAAGCAAGACAGTGGGGGAGTCCAAGAAAGATGATGTGAGGTCTACAGTCGTGCACTGCTCTCTTCGCATAGCAGAATATTGTAACTTCTCTCAGCCTCACCCTCACCTTGTTAAATAAAGTACTGATGTAGTGAACTTGCAAAAAAATAAAAAATAAAAAATAGTGCTGAGATAACTAGATATCCACATGAAAAGCATGAAAGCTGGACCCTTATCTCACATCATATACCGAAATGATCAAAGATTTAAATATGTAACTCAAAAATATAAAACCCTTGGGCTGGGGACATAGCTTGGCAGTCTAAACGCCTGCCTGACTTGAGTTCAATCCCTGATATCACATGCCAAGCTGGACCCAGAACCCCAAGTATGTAGTGCTGGCCACCAAAACCGGGTGTGTGGTGCATGCCTGTGATCGCAGTGCTGGGGAGGCTGAGACATGAAGATCACAATGAGTCTGAGCTGCAGATTGAGACCCTGCAGTCTAAATAAATAAATAAATAAATAAATAAATGATTTTTTAAAAAGTCTTATAAATAAATAAATAAATGGTTTTTTTTAAAGTCTTATAAAACCCTTAAAGGAAAAGACAGAAATAAATCTTTGTGACCTCATGTTTGGCAGTGGATTCTTACTTAAAAGTGAAAAACACATACATACAAAAAATATGTAATTGGGTTTCATCAAAATAAAAATGTTTTGTGTGATAAAATCGTAAAGAAAGTGAAAAAACAGTTTGTAAATAGAATCACAAGTCCGCATCTTCTACAGCAATTAACCACTAAGAAGAATATATGCAGTGTATTATTTGTTGAAACTGTACTTCCGATTTGATTTGAAACTGTCTCATTGCTATCTGTTTATCAATAAAACTTTGAAAAAAAATTTTAAAAAAAGAAAGTGAAAAGACAGGTACCACAGCTGAGTGGTAAAGTGTTGCCTACCATGGGGCCCTATGTTTAATTCCTAGCCCTGCCAAACAAACAAACAAACAAATCTAAGTAGAAAGTCAATCCATAGGAAGGGAGAAAATAACTGCCAGATATGGTGGTTCATGCCTATAATTTCAGCACTCAGGAGGCTAAGGCAGAAGGATTAAAACAAGTTTGAGTGCAGCCTGGACTACTCAAAGAGTTCACAGCCAACCTGATTGGTAGCAGAAGATTCCATCTCAAAAGAAAAAAAGGTTGAGGAGGAGAGACACTCTCAAACTATTTATCTGGTAAGCAATTTATGCTCAAAATATATGAAGAACTCATGCAACTCAAAAATAAGGCAATCCAATTTTAAAAATGGGATAAGAATCCAAACAGATATACTTTTCAAAATAAGCTAGAATAACCAATAAGCATATGAAATCATGTTCAATGTTATTAGTCAGTAGAGAAAGGAAAATCAAAATCACAGTGACATTTCACTTCACATCTATAAGAATATTTACATACAACAGTCCTGGCAAAGATACAGAGTAATCAAAACATTTACACACTGTTGTTGAAAATATAAAATGGTGCTGGCACTTTGTAAAACAAGCTGGCAGTTCCTCATTTGGAAAAATATGGTTACCATATGATGCAGAAGTTCTACTCCTAATTAAAAATGAAAAGGACCCAAATACCTGTTAATTAGTGAATGAGTAAACTAAAAGTAGCACATCCAAACCATAGCATATTACTGGGTCACAGAACGGAGTAGTGACAGACCTACCACATGGATGAACATTGAAAACAGTATGTTTAGAAAGATAAATCAGTCAGCAAATATCACA